TTGGGGCTGGAGCTGGTCGTATCTCAAAAAATTCGTAAGGAGGGGCGTTCGTAACTAGAGGTACCACTGTATTTCTGAACCCATTTTTTGAATAGTAAGTACCTTTTCCAGTTAAGGCATGTCTATACAGCTACAGGTAAATGGCCCAAGAAAGTAAACTGCATTTAGTTAATACTAGACAACCCTGTGACCTGTTGGGGTCATCCTTTGAGAGAAGGTAGTGCAGTCTGATGTGCCAGAATGAACATTAAATTTTAGGCTGACCGTATATTTTTTACCCCAATGCTGGACAGTCCCATAATTATCTCAGAAGAGTATATTTCATAAATAGAAAAATAATTGTAATGGCAAACAAACTTCAATAACAAGTCAATATTTACTTACCTAAACAGATAAACAGGATGACCATGGGTGGGCAAAAAAGCAGTGGGAGTGACTTCTGACTTCTTGCCAGCTTCCCCATTGACTTTGCTTGTGGGAAGCTGGCAGAGAATGTTGGAAATCATAATCATGTGACTGCGGGGATCTGCAGTGGACACAACTTTGCAAATAAAAGTGGTCTGAACATAGTGGAAATTTCAATTCCGCAGGACTAATGGGTCCCGGATTTTTTACACATTCTTTAAGTTAGCGGATTTTAAGTACCTTGGTTCAAAAATTGTTCTGGTATAATACACCATTTGGGCTAACTTTAGGGTACAAACAAACAGATAAACACAATGAGAGTTTCAGTAGTGTATAGATTTTCTTTACCAGAGATTCTGTTGGCTACCACATTGGCCTGTACCTGTAACATTTTGATACTTGACTATTTTTCATTTCTGAGAATCTGGCATTGCACAGTGCTGCTCAGTGATAACTGTGCTAAAATTCTTAGGATTCAACTTCCATTACTATGCACATTCTGTTTATCTGATTTAAGAGAAATTAATGTTAATTAAAAATTGCATATTTTGCTGAAAGTACCCTTTGCAAAAGGTGGGGATAATTGTCAAGGGCCAAATTCTAAGAAAATGTTTATCAGAATTTCTTTTTTCTGCTATCTATAAAGTTTACTTCTCAAAGGTTGTAGCTATTTGAACTCTGCCATTTTTATTTTGAGCCTGAGAACGATTTTCTCAGTTTAGCAATGACTGTGATTTCACTACCTTGAATATATTCTGACTGGCTGGTGGTTGAATATCATTTCTGTGCAAGATCTCTGTAATGTTATTTATACTGCTTTCATAATTCATTCTTGAGTTTAAAATGAAATTCTCAGAATGGAAGAAATATTAAAATGAAGAGAAAATGGGTCAAAATACAGCTCTATAAAATGTTTTAGTTTGATACAATACCATGTAAAATATTATTTTTAGGCATATAGAGAATTAGTGTATTGAGTAGCTTAGACAATGTAATGGTACTGTTCACCCTTTCCAGTTTGTATTGTCACCCTTTCTACTTTCATACCTGTTGTCAGTTTTCCTGGCTTATTTGTTTGCTTCACCAGTAACTCTGATGACATAATATTTCTTTTTCTACCATGTGGATTTACCTTAAATATGGTTTTAGCATGATTAGTGAACTGTGTGAATGTGCTATTCTGTCAGAGCCTTATTGAGAGATCATATTTCCTCTGCAGGTAACAGTAAATAGGGACTTGATCATATGCCATTACCTCATCCAATCTTTCTTACCCAATGGTTCATAGCTTGACATGAGAATTGGATTGATTGAAAAAAATATTTTTGAAAGTGCTCTGAAAAGCTATGAAAATGCTTCCTGTGAAGTTTGATCTTCAGTAACTATTTCATGCATGAAAATGGCATTTTAGCAGTTATTACATATTGCGTATGCATATGCAAACTCTGCTTGACAACAACTTAAATATACATGTTTTGGTAATAGATTGTAGGTTAGACAAATATTGACTTAGCCTAGTTGAGTTAACTCTCTGGCTTGACTGGCAATATAACTTTCTATCATTATAATTTAATATATCTAGTATCCAAACAGAGCAGGGTATTTCCAGATGCACAAATAGTCCTGGTTACAGGTACTCACAATACATAAGAAGTTGTTTGGAAGGTCTCCCAAGACTGGGAAATGAATGCTGAGGGATTCAAAAGATTTGAATCAAAATCCCTGTATAACACTTAATATCCTAGCCAATCTTGTAATCAAAGTGATCTAGCTGAAACATCTTTCCTTGATTATTAAGAAAGGAACATACTACCTTCAGGTCACATACAGTACATAAATTATGACCCATTATTGCTCAAAAATGAAGATTCCGTTTCATGCATTAAGTGACTATCAGATGACATTACTGTGAGATTATTCATATGATGCACAGGGGCCATATATCATCTCAATTTTAGTGCACTTGCAGCTGTTCTATATGGCATAGTAAGCACATCAGTAACATCTTTCCTAACAAACTCTCATGCCAATTCAGAGAAGGAGAATATTTTATTCCTCTTAGCTGACAGTTCACCAGTTATCTCTAAAGAGTTGCTAAATTTATTATAATTGCCATTGCCTCTTGATATTCAATTTTTATGATCTTCAAATGGTAACAACCATTTTTAAATCTTTGATAATATTAGTTTTTGGTTCAGGACATCATGCTCATAACTACCTTACCATAAGCTACCATTTTTTCTTCCAATTTGAAAGATACAGAATTTTAGATTTGATTATTGTAAAGGAAACAGAAAAACATTCACCATCCATGGAAGAATTCCACATAATGATAATGAAGTCAGCTGCTGTGGGCACAGTGATTTGTATTAGCATGGAGTAGTGCCTGAACCCATAAATAGCCCATGGATTTCTGTAAACAAATCCTTGATGACTCTTTTCTAGGACCAGGCACATTGAAGTTTGACAGTTCACAATAAATACTTCATTGTCCACAATAAATACTTCATTGATGTCTTGGATGGTTATTTTTGTGATGAAAACTATTGGCTGAAAGCAAACAGGTGGCTTTGGAAATGAAATTTGGGGAAAGAGTAACAATTGGATAGCCAGTGGATGGGTGCTGAGCTAATGCACTCTGTACCTATACTGTGCCAAAAAAGACATTTGCTTTGGGCCACAACTATATTGTTGGTGTCATTTGTAATTTTGATATATTCTGTCTTTAGGCATTGCACAGATGTACTGTGCTGTGGGATCTTCGTTGTTGTCATCCTGGGTTACATTGCATTAGGAATTGTGGGTAAGTAAATATTCATACATTTGAAGCTTACATAGTTCATTAGAAAGTAGTTGTTCGCATACTCTTTGAATAAATGCTGTTTTTCATTAGATGTGCCAATTAAAGAGAGTTATATTCATTTAAAATATTTCTTGGAAACAAACGATGGACTACCTATTTATATTAGTTAACATAATAATTACAGAAGAGACATCAAAATGATGGGTGTATATGTATATATATATATATATATATATATATATATATATATATATTTTAAAGTCATGATGAAACAGTTTCATCCTGACAGGTAAAATTACCATGGTTCAATAATGTTGTACATTACTGTAATTGTACAAAACTGCAATTGTAACAGAAAAATGCTAGCAATTATCATCCAGTAAAGAGAAGTGAGAAAAGGAGTATGTATGTAAAGAAGTTTCATTAAGCCTGTCAGTGGTTTAGTGCATCTATTTGATTTGATTTTGCCCCTAAGGCACAGAAAATCACACTGCAGTTATTTGTCAGTTGCCACCAAATTTCAGTCATGGTGGGAGAGATTCTCTAAGGTCAGAAACAAGAGTTGGCATTATTGATGCTCTCTCCAGCTTTATGATACTAGTGACAGTCTGATCAAGTAATGAATGGTACTGCACCACAGATTATTTCTTAAAGGGTATTATACAAAAATGTTGTCTTGATGTGGAATAAATTCACTAAGAAGTCATGTTTGTCTAATATTGGTTTCACCGAGTAACTAGTATAAGGTTACCTGAAGGACCGCCTCGCCCCCACGATCTCAACCCGTCCCACCCAATCTCACAGAGAGGGCATGCTCCGGATCCCCGTGGTAAAAGAACTTGGATTAGTGGGGTCCAGAAGGCGGGCCTTCTCTGCTGTGGCTCCCGCCCTTTGGAACATCTTGCCCCCGGGGGTGAGACAGGCCCCCTCATTCCAGGT